CCCAGGCACAGCACCATTTGAGGCTATACCGCGACAAGACCGCCGTGCGCACAAGGTGCGAGGAGCTTTCGCAAATGGCAGCCGAGGACCAGACTGGCGCGAGTCCATTTACATGGACCTCCATCATCTGTGGGCACTTTTTCGACTACGGTCTTCGAAGCGGCCTGCTTCATTTCAACCTGGACGCCGAAAAGGCCCAGATCCTGGACGCCGGCGATATCAAGGCCTCGGCCTCTACTCTCCGTCGTGTCGGCGAGTCGGTAGTTCGCGTTCTGCAGCGTCACGAGGCTACCCGCAACCGCGCCGTCTACGTCCAGAGCTTCTGCCCGACGCAGCTCGAAATCCTGGCATCCCTCGAGCGCGCCACGGGCAACAAGTGGCACACCCAGCACTTGGACTCGAATGCTTTCCTGGAACGCGAAAGCAAGCGCCTGGAGGCGGGTGATGGGGAGGCTACCGAGGAGATTGTATTCGTTCTGGGTACTGTTGACGCCGACTGGACACGCAAGGACGGATTTGCCATGGAGTTGCTGGGTCTGCAAGATGAGAATCTTGACCAGGTGGTTCGCGAGGTGGTGGCCGCTCACAAAACAAGAGCGTCTTCTTGACAATGTGGTCGAAATGTCGGGAGCTTCATAGAATATCAAGGCACGAAATGAAACGCGCATTCCATACTTTTTTCTATACGTCTTATCTTCCATGCTACCGTCCTAGAAACCAATAGCAACAAATATGCAATGGAAAAAGCAGGCACTGGGAATTTTGGTGGCGCTACATGGAGCTGGCAGCATCTGGAGCGTTGCCAAGACTGATGATGGCAACATCGATATGCATGGTGGCGTTCGGATCATGGGCACTTGTGGAGGCATGCAGATGGATCGCACTACAAAGGCCATCTTCAAGGCCTATGGAGTGGTATACATTCCATCTGTTTCCACTGAAGGCCAACAGTGGGAAGCACAACCCAGTCACGGAGCACAGTGGATTGTTCCGCCACCGGTACAGCGAAAGACGAATGAATGCCATTGCCAGGTAGAAATGACCGCGTGTTTCATCGTTGCGTCAGGCTCATAGGTGAGCTCCTCTTCCTATCTGGCGATACTATCCCCTTCACTTGCACATGCCATCGGTCTAGGTCCTGCCTTGACCTTCAGTCATCTCCAACCTCATTCACCTCGTGTCCTAGCACCACCGTCAAGGTGTGTGCTTTGCAACATGTCATACCCTCGAGTATATCCTCATCTCGTCAAAAAGAAATAACGGACCAGCCGTGTTATGATCGCTTGCAAGAAGTATTTCATTAGTATTTGCGGGCGGAACCTGGGAAAGGGGTCAAATACCTGAGTACTCATTGCCCCCCCCCGGTTGCCAGGGCAAAAAGAGTAGCCAAGTGGGTTTGATGAGGAGTCAAACTTAAGCTTCTGAAGATGCCCAAGAATCAACAAACCTCTCAGCAGCCACTCCCAGTTCATAGGCACTAGGAAATGGATCATCAAAATCTGTAATAGTAGCTGACATGGTAGCCTTCGTGGTAGCCTTCTTGGTAGCCTCCATGGTAGCCTGCCTGGGGGTAGAGAGCCGATTTTATCAAATTGAAAGGTATGAGGTGGAAGGAGATTATGGTTTGGATGGTGAGAAGTAAACGATACGCTTATCATATATATATATTCATGTTCCTCCACTGAGACAAGTCTACCGGGGCTCCTTGGCTCATTAAGCGTTCATGAAATTGCTGTTCTTTGCACTGCAGAAGTTTGCCTCAACCAAGCTGTTTGATGGCAAAGAATCTTCTGCAGCCAAGACTTGTTCGTTGTATGAAGATCTTTTTCACCCCTTTCACATCTCACAGAACAAAGGCACTCCTTGTGCCGTTAAAGAGTTTGAGGCAATCCTTTAGCCGGTTTCGTTGTGCCGCATTTGAAGAAAGACGATTGTACAGCTGAAATTGGAAAACAGACAAAGTTTTGTAAGCCCTTTCTACAGCTCACCACCATTATGCTCCATCTGATGAAAAGACTTGGTCTCAGAGGTGCTACAGACAAATTACTAAGCGTGCATTGCCCACCACAAAGAGAACGTGGTTCGCATTCTGCCAGGTTTCATCTTTCAGGGGCGACCACGGCAATGCCCAATCGCTCGCTTTGACATGACTGCCTCTTCACACCCTCCCTTTATTGTCCGATTCTGTTTGACTGCAGCGAGAATGACCACATGACCAACGTCACATGCCAGTGTCAGCAAACAGCCAGGTCGATTCATAATCAGCCCATGACAAAAGAACAAAGGAATTCAACCGACCAACGAAAGAGTGGGAAATCAACAAAGGAACGTGTCCTGCGCATGCGAGTACATAAGTAGAGGACGCAGCTACTGCAATGCCGCGGATGGCTGGATCGCGCATCACGAACCCAACAGGCACGTTGCAATGAGCAAAACACTAGCAAGTCCCCTTATTCTCCTGAACCTAATTGCACCGAGCGTCACTGCCTTGCTACCTATTTCTCAGAGACACAGTCCACCATGAGGCAGCTGCCGATGCGTGTTTCTACGAGCAATCGAGTCCCGTCACAAGAGCGTACCAGAACATCGCGCTACGATCCGAATTATAGATTCACACAAGGCCTTTCTAGGCCTCATAAAGTCAAGACAATAATTCCATCGCGAAATTTATACCTGTTCAATTGACGAGGCAGGGAAGAAGGAAGCCCTCCCTGGTATTCTAAAAGCTTGAGACCACATCAAATGCCACACCCATCCAAACTCCAAACCTGCTCAGATTTCAACAAGCTCTTCCGCGTGTGAGGGATCCCTCAGCTGCCTTTGACATGGCGCGAATGCCCCTCCCATCTCCAATCAGAATCAAAATAAACGTCATCACTCTAAATTTATTACGTTAGTTAGCATTTCCCGACAATGAGATGTGACGGAAAGGGGGTCTCTTACGCTGCCAAGCTCGCAAAAAGAGGAATACAAATGTTTATGTTTCCGTCCCCTGCATAGTCGTTCTGAAACGCAAACACGATAATGAGCGCGACGCTCGTGAAGCAGATGAAGCCATCGACGACGCGTCGAAGGATGAGGGGTGGCTCTGGCTTGCCCCAGCGGATCATCCAGAAAACGAACGAGTTCCAAAAAAGACTAATGATGGTCTAGAAAGGTCAGTCTCTGTATACATGCGACGGCCTGGGGGGTGTGACGTACCGCGGGTAAGAAGCAGCCGAGTGCGAGATGATTTCCCGCGACGCCAAGAAGGGTTGCGAAAATGATGACGAGGATGCCGCAGGCAAGTAAAAGAATACGAAGAAACGCTTTTACGCCATTCATAAAATTGTCGCTCAACTCGCTGCTCATCTTGTCGCTCGTCTTGTCGCTCGTCTTGTCGCTTGATGGAAAGTCGTCGTGGATTTAGCGGGTTTGCTGGCTGTTCGAGTGATGGTGGGTGTAGCAAAAGGCGCTTGGTTTCCGTGAAGAGTTGACGTGATTGATGTAGAGGGTCGACTTGGATTCCGTTGAGAGTCGGCTTGGCTGCTATTGAGAGTTTGACTCGGTTGCTGGTGAGAGTTGGCTTGGTTCTGTCAAGAAGAAGATGCAAGGTGCAGAAACCAAGATTCAAAAACGCCGAGATCAGCGTCATTAAATAGTTTGAGATCTCTGCAAGAGCCAACTCGTCCCATCTGTGATTCGTCCTTTGTTATTCATGAATACTCAGTCTGAGCGAGCGGTGAAACGGCATGTGGCCAGTCCAGCCGCCGTTTTTGTTGCCGTTCGCCAACTAACCACGTCATGTTCAGTCTCTGCGCGCAACAGGCGTACAGCTACCCGCCGCGTGTGTAGCAACTTTCGCAGTTTCTGCCATTTCATGGGTCATGGTCCGGCCTCTCACTCGTTCAGAGATCAACGAGTGGTTTCTAGGTCCGGTCCTGTACACGCGCTGAAGTCGCGGAAGAGGGCTACATTCATATAAACTTGTGAAAGGTTGAAATCTCTCGAACAAGACAACTTGGAAAGATGAAAATCCAAGAGAAGGAGAACAGCCAACAGACTCCCGGCGATATGGGCAACCGTGCCAAGTCCGGGCGTGCATGCAGCGTCACGCAACCAGCCCTCAAACAAAGACGTGCATGCAGCTCAAAACACAACTTCTCCGTAATGGTCTCACGTGGTTCAAGCACAGGCCGGTAGCAAGTCGGCCCCCGAACTCCCGAGATGACAGGTCTTGGTGCAGACGCTACTTCTCGCCCTGTTGAGATTATTTCTGCCCATCAGGCTCGGCGGGCCAAAGCTGAGCGTAAGCATCGACGTCGGATTGTGTCAGAGGCACAAAGTATTCGAGAGTACAAATCCGACACGATCGCTCTTCAAATGAGCTGAACTTTAACTATTGGTTCAAGCTAAGGGTTCGAGTCGCTGGCGCTCTAGGTAGGTGCAGATTCTACCAGCAAAAGTTTTCATTCTCTACCATCTACCGTGCCTACACCGCTTCGTATCACGGCATACACAGAGAATATATCCCAGTCTTCAAATTTGTCCAGTAAGCAGCATGGAGCCATTCTCAAACCAGGCCTGTTCTTCGTTGCGAGCTATTCCATGTCCCGACCCCAACTCACATTCATCATCACATCGCCCAACAAAGCCCCCTACATCATAAGCAGCTTTAACAAAGTATACGAAATACGGCATTCACAGGAAGTAGCTCCATTGAAAGCTCAATATTCATCCGTCCACCAGTCCCACTCGTCCGATCAATTCCTCAAGCCGTTCATCCAGTCGGGATGTATCCAGCCCAGCCTTTATGCACGCCCTCTGACGTTATACGGGGTATTACTTGCGTCCATCAGACGATGCCCGCTTCTTGGCATAACCATCTGTGAAGAGACGAAGCCGTCTTCAGGGTACAAAAGGCTAGGCTTCCGTCTAAACAAAACATACCACCAAGTGAATCTCCAACCAGACAAACACATCAAGACTTCCCGCTTCACATCATCTTCAACGCATCGAAAATGCGCTTCTTCACTGCTGTCATACTCCTTCTCGCTGGGTAAGTTCCTTCACACGACAGATAAAGACGTGAAAACATCATTAAGCAAAGGCAGAGTGTCTCTCGGGGCGCACACAGAGGCGCACTGCAAATCCGTCACGTCGACGGCCACGGTCTGCAGCGCCTGCCGCCAGCTAAAGTGCCTCGCCATCGAGACAATCACCCTCTTCTTCGACTGCCCATCTCCTGTGCCAACTACCACCACGGCGTACTCCTGCGCCGAGACCAAGTGTCCAGGCGGGTGTGCGTCCACTTCCTACGAATTCGTGTCTCCTCCCGCCCGCGTCACTGAGGCGCCGAGAGCTGTCTCGCCCAAGCCCTCGTGCGGAGCCGTCACATCCACCGGGGTGGTCTGTTCTACTTGCCGTACTCTGGAGTGTGTGTCGACCGAGTATGTTACTGTTGGCCATGGATGTCCTAACCCGCCTGCGACGAGCCGGACTGCATATGAGTGCGGTGGGCATTGCCCTACGGGGTGTGGGAAGACGTCGTACATTACGGTCGCGACGTCTTTGGCCAAGTAGAATGCAGTCTGATGAGTCTATTGCTTAGCGGGTTGTTGTATACTGTTTGTGGGAACCAGCTCAACTAGTTTCGTTTGTCAAATGCTTGAGAGGAGACACCCGCATCATCCGTGGTTGTCAAGGGACTAAAGCGAGAGCTTTGCATTCAACACTGCAGAAAAATATCCATTGGCAGGGATTTTATATAAATGACATGACGGTATTGGACAAACGATAATGGCGCTTCTCCATTCTGGCGGATAATCGTCATATGGTATGAAACAAGCCGTGATGAAACATGCGGGATGAACAGCGTGATAACGGCCACAATGTAATAGCCATATTGTCTGTAGAGAAGTGTCTTTGACTCGCTCTCCTGCTGGTTTGTGCCTGCAGCCGCCTCTACTCCACCAAAGTGTGCCCCTGGGAGAAAACCGAATGTCATGAAAAGGAGCTGACAGGTGGGTGTGGGTTTGAATTCATGCAGGCACTTTGACAGCTAGAACAAATCCATGCGCCAAGCGACAAGGCAAAGCAAGAAATCTTTCGATTCGTCTTGACTGGGAGCCATGTCACAACGACAACAGCCTCGTTGGCGGGTCAGAAACAGCAAAGTGGGAGAGGCCACATCTGGGGTTTTCCCGTCCCGAAGGACGGCATGATGACCAATCTGAGACTCGTACTACGCTATTACTACAGCATAGATTGCTCTGTTGTCAAAGCTCCATGGAGTAGGACCCTGCAGATCCAAGGCCCATGGGCTGCATTTTGGGCCGTTGCCACGTCGCGAATCTGAGGTCGCATGAAGAAACGAGTGGGTACAGCAGGTTGTGCGTCAGGCAGTCAAGCAGGGATTGCGCAATGGTTTAATATCACGCGATGAGTCGATGCTGGACGGTAGAGCAGAGACTGCAGAGCAGAGCCAGTGTCACCGCGAATCAATGTCATGGGATCGGGTGTCGATGGCAGATATCTATTGTTAGGACCATGGACAGAATAAGAAACTTGAGGCGGTACCAAGACACTCCCGCGTGCCAGCATGGGCATCTATTAATATGCGTAGTACTGCGTACTCGGTACTCGGCAGTAGTGTAAGATGTGACTCGGTTCGTGTAATTTTGGCAGCGGTGGTACAGACATGAATAACGTGTCAAGAACATGTCGGCAGCGGCACGTCGGGGCTTGGAACATGTGTTGGGTTGGCCGGCCAAGGTAGCTGGCACAGCCCCAGAAGCTGACGTTGAGCTTTTGCCATGCATCCACTCGCCAATCTCGGGGGTCCTGGACTCCATGTGGAACCCAAAACACTACAACATGAGGTCGAGTCAAGAAAACTTGGTGAATGGCGTCGAGGGTTTGTTTGGCTCGCTCACCGCACCGTACGGCAGCATGCTGAGGCGTTCGGCAGTTCGGCCCATTGATGTGTCGTGTTTTCTTTCTTCTCTTTCAAACTCTAACGTCGCGTTCGGTCATGATGCGAAAGGATGGCACATGCGGGCCGCCCGGAATCGGCACAGAAATCAGGATTGCTTTGATGGTTTGTCGTTTTGCTGTTTTACGTTTTTGTGTTTTGCCTCGCGTACTGAGGAAATGAGGTAATGCGCTGAAGGAAGGAGCGCCCGCGTGAGGCGCACAGGAAGCACTTGCCGTCTGGGGTTGGCGGAATGGCAGTGACGTAAGCAGCACCGCAGCACCCACCCTGGGCCCTGGCCATTAATCAATTTCCTGCATGTGGCGGGAGCAAACAATGACTCTGAACCAGTTGGCATTGATCTGCATGGCACGGGGCGGGCTTTTGTTTTTTTTTCTCTTGGCCACGACCCTGTTACAATAGTTTCTGGTAGTCGTCTTTCTTTTCTTTTCTTTTCTTTTCTTTTCTTTATCTTTTTGGTTTTTTTCTTTGTATTTTTTTTTTCCTCCTTGTGCCTGTGACGTGCTCAATTCTGCGTCTGTTTGTCTTCCTAGATCCTTCCGTGTTCTTCGTCGTCTTCAAAAGCGCAAGGCCGTCGTCATCACCCTCTCTCCGGTCACGCATCAACTGTGATTCCAACAACGTCGACTCCGTGAACGCGTACCTTCCTAGCGTCAGCGCATCCACCGTACAACATCACGATAGTCTCGCAATATCTACATCTACACCAGCCCTTACTGGCTCACAGGCGGACAACGCCATGGCCAAAGCCATCGAGGCCAAGTCTTTAAGCGATATCAACGATACTGCAAATAACCCACCACAATACTTCGAATCAGCTGCGGGGGCTCAGAAGCAGAACCCCCTCGTTTTGTACATCTCACGTGTGGTGGGGTTAAACGGTAGTCTTTTCATTGTTCAAAGACGTCATCCCTGCTTCATAGCTGATATTCAAGCGCAGTTGTCATTCTCTCCCCCGTTATACCAAACGAGAGGGTCGTCTCGGCCGAGGATGTCAAAAGCGCTCTGTATCTGGTGCATGTAGACAATCCTGACCCTGCGCCAGTTCGAGGTGAAGCCGAATGCAGATCTAGCCAGGACACCCGCCGGCTCCCCCAGTCGATCATTCCACGAAGACCTGTTGGTGGCTCGGACCGTCCACTGACCCCCGAAAGTTCGCCAAGTGCAAGTCAAAGCCACCAGCCCTCTGCAATAGAAGCTCCAGGACGGACTCTTTATGGATTGCACACAGCTATGCCGCCGAAAAAGCCCGTTGGGTCTCAGTCTTCGCCTAGGACATCAACCGAAACATCGGCTTCCGCTCAAATCGTATCAAAAGACTCTTCTGATCCACAAGAGCCTTCTGGGAATACGCAAACGCACTGTATTAATTCAATTTCAGTGCCTCGGCCGGATACATCTCTACCACCTACTAACTCTGGCAATCAAAGCTCCCTTTCAAACTCGCAGCCTATATCACAAGCCCACAGCAGATCTCCGTCTCCACGGAAGCACAGCACAGCTTCTACTGATATGCCTCTGACGCTGACGTTGACCCGACAAAATCCCGCCGCCCAGAAGTGGACAGTTGGATGTATTAGGCTGCCCGAGCTAGAATCGTCTTCGGGAGATGGCGACACGGCTTCAACGTCGACCACAAGTCCAATGCAGCATCCCCCAATAGACATTGAAATAATACAATCTGGATACGCCAAATTTCGCGAGCATTGTGTCAGGAAATATAGCCCGACGGAAAGCGGCGACTTGAAAGCTGCAGCTGGGTCCACGGCACGAGGGAGCATGGATCATCAAAGCTCAATGTACGGAAACAAGGAGGCCCTCCATCGTCGAGTCGCCATGAACTACTCCAATTCTTTGTTGACGAACGCGAAGGAGTTCGCCAGGAATTTGACACGTAACAGAAGTGACAGCGCTGCATCGGTATCATCGTACAAAAGCGACACTGCTGTAAAGCCAGACACCATTTGTACATTCGGATCGCCGCCAGAGGGCATGAAAGCCCGCGGATACACATTTGTCAGTCCATGGGAGGGCCAATGTCACTTCTCAACGGGGAAACATGGAAACAGTCTCCAGTGTTTTTACATACCCCCCGCGACGGCCACCGTCTACAGCAATTCCCTGGTCAAAACTAGTCACTCGGAATCCACACTGATCAGTACGCTGAGTTACAATCTTGCGCTTTCACCGGTCCAAGCCAAGGGACCCACGGGAGTACTTGGAAAGTTCATAGACGGCTGCAGCAAATCGAGAAAGAGCAATATTCCCTCTGACTCTCGCTACGAGTCATCCTTCACTAGCCTTGGGGCTGAGCGAGCCGGCGGCGGTCTAAATGGCAGGGAAGCAAAACTGGCCACGTTAACTATTTATGACGATGGTTTGAAGATGCTTGATCTGTTAGTGGCAGCCAACATTGGAGTATTTTGGAGAACTTGGGAGAAGTTTGCTCCCGCTTCCACTGAACAGAAGCATGTCTCTGAGGCGCAGATTCCGTTTCCATCCATCGAAGATGACAGTTGACTTGCCCTTTTTACGATAAAGATGTTCAAGATTGGAGCCGGAGTTTAAGTGGAAAGGTGGTCTTGTGGTGTGGTTTACTTTGCTTTGGCTGACAATTCAAAGGCCTGGTTTGTTGTGGTAGCTTTCTTTTTTTTTTTTTTTTTTAGCATTATTTGTAGTCAGCGTAGCCGCATAGCGTGATGTTAAGGCATCTAATGAGAAATATGATGACACTGAACCTTGGAGTCTGTATGGTTTTCACATTCCGTGTTTACTATGGCATATCTCTTGCATTTACACATCTCAATACAGCAATCAAAAACTTTGTAAGGCGCAGACGATGGCTTTTCGGCTTCACATCTCATTCACAGATATGTAGCCACGCTTTCATTTATCAGTTGGATCGCCGGATCTCTGGGCCTGATTTTCTGTTGCACAAAATGGTTCACTTGGATTACATCGATGTAGCAGCAGAATGTGTCCATCGTGAGGGTCCCCCAATCACCAGAGCACCTGAGGAGGGAGCCTTTCTTCCAAGCCGCTGTATGCTGTTTGTTTCATGTAAGCTCTTCTCCTTATTCTAGATTTCACGCCAGTCGAGTTCAACACTCCAGTTATGGTATCAGCAAGTATTTCATAAGACTATCCTCCATACCAAGTAGGGGGAGCTTATTTGCAGCAAGCAGCAAGCAACCAAGCTACCCTAGACTACTTAATTCCCTTAGTATTAGCCTCCTGCGACGAAGATTTAAGACTTTGGTCAAATCCTTTGTAATTTATAGGGATCATGGAAGGCAAAATCAATGAATAGGAATAGTTTTGCAAGCCGAAAATAGAAAGTGGGCACGGGTTTCGCTGAGAGCAGAGCTTTTGACACGGGGAGAATTTGCGAAACGAAACGTCAAGACGTGATTATTTGCCTGCGGTGTGAAAAGAGCTCTTAGCGACGTTGAATGAAGAAGATGGAGAGTAATAAGGGAGAGAAAAAATCTCCACCATTGTAGACAGTCTTTGAAGTGCTCTACTGCTGCTGTCGGCAATTGGTATTGACTCCAGCATCCTCGGTCCACCTCAGGGAAGACATAGAGGTCACGTGAATCATCACGCGTACCGCAACCACCAATCACATCCCGAACAATGTAATCCCGCAGTAACGAGCCTCCCAAGTCGAGCAAAGAAATCCATCACATCAAACCGTTCGTCGCTGGGCCGTTTCCCCAATCGCCACCTGACTTCTCTTCTCTAAGTTGGCCACACCCCCCAACTCTGCCTCGTCGAATTGCCGACCAAGGCCGTTTACGACGACGAATTGATCTTGTCCACCCAATGGCGCCGGCTCTGCATGCCTCTGCGGCCATGCTCGCGCGAAGACAGCTCGCCGGAGCTCCGAGCACCACCAGCTCGCTGGTAGTCGTGGCCAGCCGGCTCATGGCTGCGCAGCAACACCAGACGCGAGGATACGCTACACCCGCGGGCCCGCCCCCCAAGAACTTCCGCACGAGCAGGCACACCGAGTGGCCGTGGGACAAGGAGAAGACGCTGGACCGGCTGGGCAAGTACTTCCTCTTGACCGAGATGGCGAGAGGCATGTACGTCTTGATGGAACAGTTCTTCCGACCTCCGTATGTGGATTGCCCTTGAGACATGAGTCCTCGAGGCTCGAATGGCCTTGTTTTTTTCGTGAAGCTGACCGGTGGCGGATAGATACACCATCTACTATCCCTTCGAGAAGGTATGATGAGAACTAATTGGACAGCACTACCCATCTAGACATGGCGACCGTTTCAATTGACACGACACAGGGACCTATTTCCCCCCGATTCCGTGGAGAGCATGCCCTTAGACGGTATCCTTCTGGCGAAGAGCGCTGTATCGCGTGCAAGCTGTGCGAGGCTGTACGTATCCATCAATAAATGACTGCCCCCGGATCTCTCAAGTTCATTAGAAACTAACGGATTGTAGATCTGCCCTGCCCAGGCCATCACCATTGAGGCCGAAGAGCGTGCCGATGGATCCCGCCGAACGACCCGCTACGACATCGACATGACCAAATGCATCTACTGCGGCTTCTGCCAGGAATCGTGCCCCGTTGACGCTATTGTGGAGAGCCCCAACGCCGAGTATGCCACCGAAACGAGAGAAGAGTTGCTGTACAACAAGGGTAGGTTGAACCACTCAGCACATGCATCCCGTGTAGCTAGTTTGCTGATCCTTTTTGCTGCAGAGAAGCTTTTGTCCAACGGAGACAAGTGGGAGCCTGAGCTGGCGGCTGCCATTCGCGCGGATGCGCCCTACCGATAATCTAACCACACTTGACAGCGTTATTTCACCGTTCCCTTTGTTCATGTAGAAGTATCTTGGGGGGAGGGGCTGGCCGGGCGGTAGAAAAAGTTGTACATAAGATTAACATTTTCCCCCAAATCAAGTGTCTAAATGTGATGCTGCCGCACCTTGTTCAACACGTGTAGTGGTGCATCCGTGTTTTATCGCCTTCTGCAACTTGCATAAGCCGCTGTGTCTGCTTCGAGATATTACCTCCGTTTTCGACACATATTCGGTTCACACAATGCCAGAGAAATACTGGCACTTTATGGAGTTCACCACCAAACAATACCAAAAACTTCCTCGAATTTCCCAAGTGCAACAACATCACACAGTTCACAACTCAGTACGCAGTCTCATGTCTCACCTCCCATATCGTCTTTCTTCTACCAATTCAAAAAATAAAGCCATTTAAACCCCGCCTCCATTCCCGCCTGCAACAGCCCCAAGATTCGCCCCAGAATCCAGGCACATCCACCGGCCCAATCAGCAACGCCCCAATCCAGCATTCACGTGACCCTCTTTTTTCAAGGTTCTCTAAGGCGTAGCTCCCGACCTCCGTACCTCAAAAACACCGAGAAATTTATCATCACGTCACCTCTCAGCTCTTCTCTCCCCCCAAGCCATCATCCAATTGACCATGTTCCGCACCGCCCTCCTCCGCACCGCCCGCGTCGCCGCTCGCCCGCTGGCCGCCGCACCGCTCAGTGCGCGCATCGCCCTACCCCGAGCTGCCGCCGTGCCCAAAATGCTCGGCGTGAGGATGTACTCAGCCGCCGGCGGCCTGAAGAAGGAAGAGGTAGAAGGGCGCATCATGAGCCTGTTGCAGGGCTTCGACAAGGTACGCCCCCCGCTTCCCCCCCCTCGTACACGTTCGCTAACTCGCCCAGGTCAACGACACTGCCAACGTACGAAAACGCACCTGACCACCCCTCGAATGTCCTCGTAGACTAACATCCATTGTAGATCAAGCCGGTCGCCCACTTCGCCAACGACCTGGGCCTCGACTCTCTGGACACGGTGGAAGTAGTCATGGCCATAGAGGAGGAGTTTAGCATCGAGATCCCCGACAAGGACGCCGACTCCATTCACTCTGGTGCGTACTTGATGTGCCCCGACGGCTCAATACGGGGGAAGCCCATACTGACGGTTTCGCAGTGGACAAGGCAGTCGAGTACATTCTCAGCCAACCCGATGCTCACTAATCACACGTCGCAATCTCTGTACTATTATCTCAGCTCATGGGTGGACGGGAAATCGGGGGATGTACTGTTTTATAGAAAGAGGGGAATACACATTTTTTGCTTCTTTTTTTCGCCAAGCTGAACTCGCTTCTTTTCTTGGTTTTCAACAGCCAGCGGTGCAGAGTGGCTTTTTCTTTCCTACACTGATTACCATGCCAGAGGTGACTTGCCAGGGCAGCGTTGCACCACGGTACACTCGCTCCACGAGCCCGACCTGGCTGTGTTTTGTTGCCAGGCGTGCACGTCGACTCGTAAATCTACACAAAGGGACATATTTGACGAGAAAAAGTAGCTCTCTTTATTCCGCTCAGCTACAGACACAGACAGCACAATACAAACCCACCATCCACCGTCACTCATACACCCACCCTCCTAGCACCCGAGCAGTATGATCCGCGCCAACCACTGCCACGGAGACACCCGTGATCAAGACGTCATGACCGTTGGGAACTACCCCAATCTTCTCAAAGCAGAAATAGGACACAGGCATCGTACAAGAACGAAAAAAAGACGTGTAGCAACTTTGGTATAAAATGACGCCAATTGCGGTTGGCGCCGCCTCCCTGGATACAGTGTAGCAAAGAGAGCAGAAGAAAAGTGCATGAGAATACCAACCACAATAATTCCCTCCAGTATGCGCTAGATCCGTTGGCCGTCAAACGCCTTTCTTTCTAGGACTACAAGAGCATCTTGTCCGACGCGGGCCGTTCCAGTGCGAGTTTTAATCAAATCAACCTAGAAGACAAGAAAAAGTAGACCAACCAAAGCCAAGCCAATAATAGTGACTAGAAGCAAATGACAGAAAACATAAAAAAACAAAAGCAAAACCGGCCACGCCTGTATCCCAAACTCAGAATTTTAAGCACCTTTGATATGTTGTTCCGTTGCATTATTTTTACGTCTCTGCTCTTTTTTGCCGGGTATCCCATCATTATTCCCCTGTCGTCCTGGCCAGTCAAGGTGCTCGGGCTGTGTGTGTGTGTGTGTATGTGCCGCTTGCTGCTGACGAATTGCTTCAGAGCGTGTAAAGCATGTATGCCATTGTTATGCAGCTTCGTAAAATCTCCGCGTGGACCTTTCACGCCACTTCTATTCGCTATAACTAATGCATGTTGCATCAAAATTGTGAAACGCCCAAGTCAAATAATAATAATAATAATCATGTTTTGGGATGCCAATCAGCGTCCGTTGACCGGCACTGAATCTCTGTTCTCCTTGGAACTGCTGTTGGATTGGTTCTTGCCGGCCACTGCGCTGGCATAGCTGCCCAATGGACCCATACTCAGGCCGGCAGAAATTCGCTTGCGCATCCTCGCTGTAGGTGCGTCATCTTCCTCTTCCATGCTGAAGACGAATGCTGGGTCCTCCTCGTCAATCGGAGTAGTGAAGCGACCAGTGACGGACGAGCTGATGCTTCCGCTAGACACATGGCGCTCCATGGCCCGATCTTTGCCAATCGGCGCAAGACTACTGGATGGCAGTCGTGCGGTAGTAGGATGCAAATGAGGGCTGGAACTCGAGCCGCTGATGGCGTCGTCCAATCGGCTGCGCTGCAGTTGTTGTGAGAGAACTGACATGGACTCGCTCGTAGAGCGGCCCGCGGACAGACGGCCGGATGTCCCTGGGCTCTTGTAGTCGTCACCTATTTCCTGGGCCAAGGTGGACCTTCTCAAAGGGCTGCCCACATGGCCAAAAGCTGAGCCAACATTGCGTGCTGCCCTGGCTGCGTCTTCCTCCTCCTTTTGGCGCTGGAACAGCGATCCCCAGCGGCTTGGGCTGGTACCCATTGGGCTACCATACTTGAGAGCTTCGATGGCGTGTTCATCGCGCATGGAGCTAGAGCCTCGCCTGGCCTTTTCAGCAGGCGTCAAGAGTTCTTGCAGGTTCTCAGGAACGTAGTTTTCGGGTAAATTGTCATCGTCAAAGGCAAACTCGGCCTCCCAGTCACGGTCCACGGACGATGCCTTGGGCATGCTGGAACTAAGCATGCGGGGTTTGGCATATCTAGACGAGTGCATCGCTCGCTTGCCGAAATACTCATCGCCAATAGCAGACTGAGAGTTGGGCGGACTACTGGCGGTTGGGTTCAAGTGCTCCGACGAGCCGAAGGCCGAGGTATGCAGTAGCTTCAGCGTCTCCGAGGTTCGCGAGTCTTTGGCATTGCTAAGCGAGGCTGTGGGGGACTCGAGGCCGAACTTTGAGGGCACAGATGACGGCCACGGCGCGGCGGGGAAGCGGGCGGCGTTGGAGATGCCATTGGAGTCGAAAGAGGCGGGCAGGGGAGCATCGAGGATGGATAGTCCTTTGCCATTTGCAGGGGACAGCCCAAAGCCAAGGCGAGTGGGATCGTCCTCGCGAGGTGAGCCGTAGTTGGAGTGGCCATACGGAGAGTCGATGGAGGGAATGCCATTGTCGAGACTGGGTTGGTGTCCCGGGTGGTTAGCAGGGCTGGCAATCTGGCGGTCATCCCATGGAGACTGCTCGGCGCTGTAGAGCGAGGTTGTCAGGGCACTGGCAGACGACTGGTGATAACCGGTTGAGGTCCCAGAATTCGGGGACGCAGGGTTGGGCGAGGGCCGACCGGCAAGGCCGATGGGAGCTGTAGCTATGGTGACACCAGTTTTACCATAGTTTATTCGTCGACCGTCGGGTAAGACGTGGATGTTTGCGCACTTGGGGCCGAACTTGCAGTTGCCCTAGAGAGGAAGCATGTTAGTCCTTGCAGGGGAATGGAGATGACGGCGCTTGCTTCATATGTGATTCTAACTTGGTCCGCAAAGGCAAAAGATGGGAGATGATAGACGGAGCCCGGGTGAGGCCAGACTCGCAGAAAACAGTAATAACCTCAAGCCTATAACCTCACGCTGGAGACGTACCTTGGCAAAGTACTTGCAGATGTTTTCGGCTGCGGCTCCGAGGTCGTGGCTGAAGGGGCAGGCATTGCCAGCTTGACAGGCACCTTGGCGAAAGAACTTGCACGGGACGTGAGAGGTATCTGTAGCAGATTGAGGAAGACTGATTAGCACGGGGTTTAATCTTGGTTGTCATTCACGAGGCTGTCCAGTCAGCGGCACGACGGGATGGGGTGCGGCGATGCGGCGATAAAAGAGGGTGAGGTGGTGGGGGCGGGACTCTGGGATGCGATGCCGCACGGCATTGGAAAGGGCGGGTTTGCCTCGGAAAAACCAAAAATTAAAAAAAAAAAAGGCAACTCGGGCACATACTCGGAGGGCTTCGCGGCATCATGGAGGACGAGGTGTTGGAGGCAGAGCCATTCGGGATGTTCAGGCTGCCGCTCCGGACGTGGCGGTATTCGGGCATGGCTGCGGCGGGGAGGGAATGTCGCGTGTACGAGGGCCGTTTGCCTGGACTTGAAGTCGAAGTCGAGGTCGAGGTCGAAGTCCAAGTCCGAGTCGAAGTCCAAGTCGAGCCTGAGCTTGGGGAGAGAAGAGGAGGCGGAGGAAGTCCAGGTGCCAGGCCGGACGTGGACAAGGACATGGAGGGGAGGGGAGCAAAACCTGGCGAGGCGGCGCTCAGAGTGGAGTGAGGGGACATGGCCGAGAGACGATCCATCACGACGGATCAATTGATTGATGACGGGCGACCCAGAGTTGACAGGTGACTCTGGTGTGGCTAGTGGTGACTGGATGGCCTGGCCGGAGTCAAGGTGCCTGCCTGGCTGCGTAGCGAGTGGCTGGTGACCTCGGGGGCTGGTGACCTGGAGTCTGGTGCTCA